GGGTTCTACTGACTGATGAATCGATATGTTGCTTAATCACCAAGTGGACCTACGTGGTGCGTTCAAGTTCTAAGGTCTCCGATTTTTTTTCTCACACAATAATCATACAAAAAATTTGAAATTTCTGTCACTTTTCAATGTAATCTCCCTGCAGCTGTACACATTTTTCACAACATCGATGTCATTATTCCATGACCGCTACGAACGCTGATGCAATAGCGGCAAGACCGGTGAATGTGCAACCATGGAGAGCGTCTTCCATCGTTGGGAAAAGCCAAAAATCGCTAGGAGCCATGTCAGATGAGTAGGGATCATGAGAAACAACTTCAAGGTTGTTTTCATCAAGAAACTGCCGCATCACATATGCCTGATGCTCTGGTGCATTGTCCTGATTAAAGAGCACATGTGCAGCCTCTTCCGGCCGTTTTTCTCGCAGTGCTGGAAGGAGCTTGTTCTTCAAAACATCTTGGTAGGGTGCACCTGTCACCGTAGTGCCCTTTGGAATGCAATGAGTAAGGATTATGCCATCACTGTCCCAAAACACAGCCACCATCATTTTTTCAGCACTGACGCTTACCCGAAATTTTTTGGTGGTGGTGAATCTGTGTGCTTCCATTGTGCTGACTGGCGCTTCATTTCAGGATTGAAAAATGGCATCCATGCCTCATACATTGTCACAGTTGATGAAAAGAAAGTCCCATTCATGCCTTCATCACGTGTCAACATCGCCTGGCAAATTGCCATGCACACAGCCTTGTGGCTGTCCGCCAGCATTTGTGGTACCCACCTGGAGGACACTTTCAGCATTTGCAGGTCTTCATGCAGGATTGTGTGCACAGATCCCATGGAAATGCCAACTTTGGAGGCAATGTTTTCCACACTCAATCGGCGATCCTCCAGAACAACTTTCTCAACTCGCTCGACCATGTTGTCAGACCGGCTGGTGCAAGGCCAAGCTTGTTTTGGTTCATTGTCACACGACGTTCGGCCTTCTTTGAACTGTCACACCCACGAATGCACATTTTTCACATTCATGAGACCATCACCACATGTCTCACTCAACTGGCGATGAATTTAAATGGGTGTCACACCACACAAGTGGAGAAAACGAAAGATTACTCGCTGTTCTTGTAACAAAAACGTCGCCATTTTAGGTATCAAAATCACTCCTCACTTTCGCCACCACCACTAGAGTTCTGTCTGCCGTACAGTGCTGCCATTTCTGTCACACATTCACAAAGAGTGCACATGTATTTTAAACTAAACTGCATGTGTCCACCTGCTCCCAGTTCTGAAAAAAAAAAAATCGGAGACCTTAGAACTTGAACGCCCCTCGTACATACACTTCACAAGGTTACTGGAACAATAACACATATGTGTTAAGTAAAGTCTTCAACACTTCCACTCTTAGATGTTCCTTTTACATATTTCATGAGGTCTATACCTGTTCTTCCCTCTTCTGTCTTGTTCTCAGACTAGGCTTCTACTACTTGGTAGTACTCTCCAGTATCTAATCTCTTCTGTATTATATATTCTGTAGTCTATCTCTCCCTGAAGTAGGTTTTGGTCAAACCGTATAGAGATCATTGATCTCCAAGAGTTCCTACTTCACATATCTGCCTTCCATTGCTGTGTGAACAACTTTAACCTATCTACTGTGGCAAAAATGTTTTTGTGTGTTGCCTAGGAATCAATGTCTCTGCCATAACCTCAGAGATGTGTTTCAACAAGCCGTTACCTAGTAATGGATTTACATGTCACAATAGCTAAATACTGACTGAATTATTCATGACCAAAATGCAGGGCAAAATCATGACATAAAGATAGGAAATAGATGTTTTGAAAATGTGGCACAATTCAGATATTTGGGAACAACGATAACAGACCAAAATCTGATTCAGGAGGAAATTAACACTTCGCAGACTGGTGATTTAAATATTTAAATCACCCTGGGGACCGGCATTTTTAAACGTACTACCCTAACTTCTGCACTGTTCACTTTAAAAATTAATATAAAATCTCCTAATTAATTTCTTGAACTAATTTTTTTGGAGAACATTTATCAATGCTCCTAGAAGTCCTTGAGGGTGTGATATTTCTGGAAACTTTACACTTTGTGAAGTGGCATTACACAGAACTTGCAAATGTAGACATATTCCTTTTTTTTGTGAACTGTGCAAACACGGCATTGCCTAGAAGTATTCTTCCCCTTGGAATGTTCACTCTTCACAATTTTCACTAAGATATTTTTCCGCATATCACTCAAGAGTCGCCCTGGGGGGTCCACATGAGGCCTTCATGGGGTGGGAGTTCATGGGACCAGTTGTATTAAGTCTTTGTGTGACCCTGGTTCTGCCGCCACTATCTGGACTGTAGCCCAGGCCTTTGCCACATTCATCAGAAATGCTCTGTATTTAAATTTTTGAATCAGGGTTTAGATTTTTTTTTATTTGTTGCTGTCCCCGCAATGTTACTACTCACAATGTTATTACCCGCATTATCGTCGTAGCTACTGTCACTTTTACTGTCTGTGGCCACAATTCTTTGTTGTCCCCCATCACTGTTGCTGTCTGAATGACAATTAATCCATTACTACGCGCCTCACAAGGCAGGTCAGCTAGGTCATCGGAGGAGAACTTGTCCTTGATCCATTCTCCCCACTAGCTACTGGCTGATACACACAGCTTGAAGAAGGCAAAGCATTTTCCTTTATAGTCGGTTAAGTAAACAGCGAGGTCAAGTTACTGACTGCTAACTAAACACTCCAGAGTCTTATCATGCATCTGCAGGCGGTTGCGTGCAATGTAGGTGGCACCAGAGCGATGTATAGTGTGTTGCAACTTATCATGTTCTAAAAGCCTGTTAACACGCGAACGGTCCGCCATGTTTAAAAGCAAAAAACCTCTTAAAGGGTGTGCGGTCCGCAAAGTGTTAAAGAGGCGACTGAACTCAGGTAATGCTTGCTACCATTCAGTCCAGAACCTTATGTCTTCTCATCTGTTGTCCAAAAACATATACATTATACATATTGTATATATATATTATATATACATACAATTGGAAAGACTGGTGATTTTAAATTTTAAACTACGGGCAGTGTAGCAGCTACGTAAGAATACACACCTGATGATGGCCATTTAGGGCCGAAACATGTAGCGTGGAGGAAGGGAAGAAGAAAGAACTACAATTAAATTGTTGCACTCAAGACGGAGTTTGTCTCATATATATTGTGTGAGTGTAACAGGATGCTTAAGTATAATAAAGTATAATATTGTAAAAATTAGAATATACAAAACTATAATTTTGCCTGTGGTTCTGTATGGGTGTGAAACATGGTCTCTGACATTAACCTTTAACGTACGGACTTTTAAATTGCCTGCAGCTCCCTACGGCCGGAATTTAAATGGCCC